GCTACACTGGAGACCTTCGACCTCTCAGCTGCACGTTCGTTTTTATTCCATTTTTTCCTAGTTTCATTCATCTTTTTTCCTGCTCTCTTTTGTTTATTAAAAGCCAAAACTACTTCCATAAAATATTTGACTTTCTTACTGGCATTTTTAGGTGATGATAATACTGAGAAAAATGCTTGTACTGCTACAGGTAATAAAATTGAGACACCTGATTCTATCTTTTATTCATTCTATTTACAAATTACTCAATTATTATTTCTTATGCAGAGTGGTAAGCAAATGGTAAAAGTATGGGCATTGACTGCTCTAGCATAAGTTGCTTACTGTTATAAGTAATTCAAGATAATCAAAATAATGAAATATAACTACCATCTTTATCTGTAAACTTCAAATTCCTCATTTGGGTGCTTGATGCTTTTATAGAATGGAATGGAATGATCCATTCTTTTACCTTGTCCATTGCATAATTGTGTGATTCCATTCAATCATTACTAAATGGAACAGGGGTGACAGATCATGGTTTGAAGCCAAGACTAGATAAAGAAGGTTGCTATTCTTGGAGGAAGTTTAATAGGTCAGGATAGCAACATCTTTACTTCTAAGTGTGTATCAAGTTATCATGAAAGAAGTCAATCAAAAGTTCTTGGAGGGTGAACTAGGCAGAGTCAAAGGTATAATAATATATTCAACACTTTGTTATCTAAATATTTAGAAAATATACTTTTTTACAAGTTTTTAACAAATATCTTTTATATGCACGTCAAATTTGTCAAGAAGTGTTAGAAAAGGTAAGTAGACTGTAACGCCCGTAGATCCGGGCTAGTCAATCTAGGAGATAATAGGGGTCGAAAACGACTTTTCGACAAAAAGATTATTTAGAATAAATAATCTTAACCAAGTTGTAGAATATGTCTCAAGGGTTCCGTACATATAAAGAACGCCGAAATCCGAGTTATAACGAAGAAGTTATGACCCGTCGAAGTTTCGCGACGGAACTGGCACGACACCAGGAGACGTAAATCGTAAATTTGTGATATAGGAGTTTTTAGCCTTAGTGATCTAAACAAAAGTTGTAGTATATTTTAAACCAAGAACATCCATAAAAATAACGCCCAAATCTGACTTCGTATGAGGAAGTTATGAATTTTCTAAGATTTGGCATAGCAGTGCACGACCCGAAACTCGAATTTTAGTTCAAGAAGTTTTTGGCTTACGCAACCTAAATAAGAGTTGAATATATCATTAATAGGAACTCAACGGTAAAAAGACAGACGAAAACGGAGTCCGTATGAAGGAGTTACGAATTCTTCGTGGTCATTTAACAGTCTAATCTCATCCTACTGTTATATTTAATATCGGTCAGGAATTAGCCGATGGAGTCTAAATAAAAGTTGTAGATCTTGTTTTTACCTACGCGTGGAAAAAAAGAACGTCGAAAACGGAGCTGGTATGCGAAAGTTACGGGGTTTAGAAGTCGACAGGGTGCTGCTGCAAAAGGGGTGACGTGGCTGAATATGGGCCAAGGCTTTCTCCCCAAGAAAAGCCATCAGGCGATGACACGTGGCACCGACTCGGCGAGTCCATCAGGAATTCAGCCTATAAATAGAGGTGTCGGGTTCCATTCATTCTCACACCTTTCCCAACTTCTATCTCTCTCTAAACTCTCTCTCTAAGCCTCCCTAACCCCCCAAAGCCTAGGGTAACTCCCTAGCATGAGGCGGAAGCCCCGGAGCGCCCGACGGCTCCGAGAAAAGAGCCTTTCGGCTCGGGAACGCTGCTCCAGCGAAGCCTGGTTTTGCGAAAAACCCGCTGTAAGTGAGCTATGCCTACCCTATCTTTAGTATAGCTTATGTTTTAATATAGTAACAATATTAGGACATTAAAATAATTATTTGAACTATTATTATGAGTTATATAAGAGTGTTTCTTAACGCTTATATAATAGTAATAATAGTTAGACTATTAATTAGTCGCAGTTAACGTCAGACTAAACCCTAGTGGTATTGATACTAGGTTTTGTCAAGGGAAAATTGTTTTGAGATAACGAAGTGCTGTCCGAGTACCGAGTCACCACCTTATCACGTGAGTGCATAGTTACTTTCATCTTACACATAGATATGAAGTATTTTATATAAATTACGTGCTATGTGTGCATACTATCTGAATAATTGTTGTCTATGCTGGAAGAACGATTTAATACATGTTTTAAATAATTTAAACTGTATACGTATTTTATATCTACGAATATGTTGGGTAAAACATGGGTAGATGAATGATGAGAGATGAAAGATAATATGAGTGAACATTGGCAGCTATAGACTTAGTGCCTATTGGATAAACGCCGGTATCTATGGACTTAGTACCTGTTAAATAAACGTTGGTAGCTATGGATTTAGTACCTGTTAGATAAACGTTGGTAGCTATGGACTTAGTACCTATTAAATAAACGTTGGTAGCTATGGATTTAGTACCTATTAGCTGAACACTGGTAGCTATGGATTTAGTACCTGATGAACGAACTTTAGCAGCTATGGAATTAGTGCTTTACGAACAAGCATTGGTAGCTATGGACTTAGTGCCTGTCATATAAACCCTGAAAGCAATGGACTTTGGAATGAACGAATGCAAGATAAATGACTCTTAGGGTAGACCTTAAGAGTAAGGAAGATAATGGGGATGGGTAATTGGGTTGATTGTTTGATGTTTAAACATAATAATTATATTATTGTGGGTTGAAAGCCCTATGTACTCACCAGGTTTCCCAACCTGACCCACTCAGTTTATTTGTATCACAGGTGTCTATATGAAGTTACATTGCACTGAGAGATTTAAAAGAGATGCAGATCACTTGTGTAAATGAATGTAAGTTCTGTTTATGCTTATGTTTCTGTATTGACGATGACATCCTAAATGTTTTAAAATGGATTAAAATACATTTCTTCGGAAATGCTTTGATAACGTATTTATCATGTTTTTCTGGGAACAAATTCCGCAACATTTTTATTAAAAGAGTTACTCTGATTTTTATAAAGCATAAACAAAATCGGTCTTTTCTGCCCTTGAAAATGGGGATGTCACAGACTCAAGAAAAGATGAAGAAAATTATCTCTCTCTCAAGGGCGTTCTTGATTATGAAAGCTTTAGGGATGTAGACATGGTGATAGAGGTATTGATGTACTAGAAACATAGACAACAATTCTTTTAACCATTTAGCACTTTTTAATCTTTAAAGGTGATTTGTTTTTGGTGTTGAATAACCAAATAGGGTGTTATTGAGAAAGTCTCTTTGAAGTAAAAAGTATTTTTGGATTTGGAGAAGTATTGCTCTCCACATTGCATACCTACAAGTAACACCTCTATAATTTACTTGAATCTAATTGGTGAAAATACAAATTCTCATGACAGGATAATTGGGTCACACTTTTCAGGCATATGAATTTATTGTTATCCATAAGGTCTGTTTGGTTGGATAGAATGGAATCACAGTCCTTCAAGAACTATCCATTCCGTTACTTCCCCGATTCCATAGGAAAAAATATCAGATGTTGGACTTGTTAGATGTTGTAATAAAGGTCAGAAAAACTCCTTATGTTTGCAATTCCATAGGTTTTGCTGTTAATAGAATGTTCTTTCCATATACCCAAGCTGCCTTTTTGCTTGTAGAACGTGGGGCTGACCTCTAAAGGGTAGATAAGGCAATTACTAAATTCAAAATGCCAATTGGCCCTTTCAGGTTCGTATAAATCCAAAACAAGACACCATCTTTTTTTAATCATTTTATGTTTTGTTGAATTTGTTTCATGTATTTGGATGTAGATTGTCTGATCTTGTTGGATTTAGTGTTGCAGTTGCAACTGGTTCATAATTTGTTTTTAATTTCCCTGAAAGAACATATAAGTCAATGTTGCTTCCACTCATGCCAGAGGATAAAAGAGTTGTTACCCGGAACCGGTTGGAAGCGGTTCTAATATCGGGTACCTAGTTTCCATATATTTATAAAATTTTCTCACTATAAAGAAAACAATTCAAATAGTATACAACATATACTACGTCAAGAATTACAAAATTTTTGTTTGAAGATGTGCTTTAAAAACAAAAGGTGTAAAAAGTACTCTGTATAGTTCAGACAGATAACAACTAGAACACTTAATATTAACTATTAACTACATATTGTCCAAATTGTTGCATGTTTGCGAATTAGTAGAGTGCTTAACCAGAAAGCCACAAGCCACACAAATCAACTCATTATTAGCAACATTATTGACTTTTAAATTTATAGGAAACCTTTAACTCTAGTCTTTCTTATCCTATCGATGTGGAATGATCATCATTTTTAGCTTGCTGAACTTGTAGTCCCACATCACAAAACACGTTGAATTGGAAATAGACACTCTTGTTAGATACATATATGAAGTAATGAAGCTATGACCATATTTTGATGAGAAAATAACTATGTTTTAATGTTTATGCATTACGCACTTTATAAAGTTATATTTGTAAACATAATTAAACTATATATATATATATATATATATATATATATATATATATATATATATATATATTTATGCATTACGCACTTTATAAAGTTATATTTGTAAATATAATTAAACTATATATATATATATATATATATATATATATATATATATATATATATATATATATATATATATATAGATAGAGAGAGAGAGAGAGAGAGAGAGAGAGAGAGAGAGAGAGAGAGAGAGAGAGAATCATTTGAGAACTCATAGTTTCCCAAAAACCCGAGAACTAAAAGTGGAACGTTGGATCAAAATAAAGGACGATCAAGATGCAATGTGGCATTTTTGTAAATAATCAGAAAACTAAAGAGGTGGGGGCATATCAATTAAATTACACAAGAGTATTACTGGAAACAAATATATTATTAGTTTATTAATCTTATTTACTAAAAGAGAAAACAAAATTTCCCATTGTCGACTGCGATTTTCCCCAAACGATCGTCACCTTCTCCGATTATGGTGTCGGCGATTCCGCCTCCCCCACAGTCGACGTCGGCGAGTTGCCTCTTCAGTACCGCATCTAGGTAATTATCGGTGACCACCGCCTTACACTGCCACCGTAGATCCAGAATCAAAATCCCTTTCGTTGATCCATTGTATCATAAACCTCTCTCCACTGAAGATCCCTGCAGATTGATAGATTGAACAACGCGGTAGCGATATCCTTCTTCCCTCTCGGAGTTCCGTGCCCTAATCTTATTTACTATCGGCTGCTTTCTGTTCCGTCCGATCTAGATGGAGCCACGGTGTTGATTGGAAGTCTCCTGCCTCGCTGTCTTCTCAGATCAGGACTACTGCTTCTCCTGTTCTTGACCGTTTTCACCGTAGTCTCGCTACCATGGGTAATTCCTTTGGTTTTCTTCTTGCTTGTTTCTGGTTCCCGCGCTATTCATTTTGATTTCTTCTGATTTTTATTTCACGTAATTCTGCTGGAGTGTCAACGCTTGCGTGGCTGATACTGATCGGTGGGGTGATGTTTGACCTCAAGTTTAGATTTCAGTTACGCGATTTGAACAAAGGCTAATGAATTATGATTATAATCTAGTAGCGTACAGGTTAAGCAGGATTGTAGTTGTCAAGTCGATAGTGCTTTAGATATACAAGTATCACTATAAGCTACTACCTCTTACCAACCAAATAACATCACTTCTCTTATGAATCGGACTGAGGGAGTGTATGATCATATACTTCTATGGTTATGACAAACAGCCTACATAAGTATCGATCTGAGTAGAAGCACATATGACAACATAAATGAGATGTTTTATGATTTCTAGTGTTTCTTACTTTTTTTTTCTTTCTGAAATTGTGATTGTCTTTGAGTTGTTAGATCTGATTTGTATGTTTAATTGCATCTACAGCCTCTGATCATGCTTTAAGTGGGATTTTGACTGGTCTCCCCAAGCCTGGAGGTGGAGAGTTTGGAAAGTTCTATAGTTTGCCTGCGCTGAATGATCCAAGAGTTGGTAAATCTTTTTGACTCCTCCGCTTCACTTCCCAACTTTTTAGCTGATAATTTTCATTTAAAGAATCTATAAATTAACAGTCACTTGAAACTGATCAAACTTTTGTTCATATGGAGATTAGACAAGTTGCCATATTCAATTAGGATACTTCTTGAATCAGCCATCCGTAATTGTGACAATTTCCAAGTCACCAAGGCATATGTTAAGAAAGCCATTGATTGGGAGAAGACTTCTCCAAATCAAGTTGAGATTCCATTCAAGCCAGCTCGTGTTCTCTTGCAGGTTTCTTTTTTACTACTTTGTGAAATAACCATTATGAAAAAAAGTTATTATTATTAAAGCCATTTTTTTTAGAATTGTAAAATTTCATGAACGCCATTTGAGATTTTTTTTAATATTTATTTATTAATATATTTTTTAATTTACATTTTAATATTAGGGAAAATGATAGAAAAATATTTTTTAGTTTTTCCATAAAGACTAAATATGTCCAATATATAAGGTGTTTTTTTTTAAAATATGTGATTCACTTGTGATTTACATGTGAATGTGATTCACATGTAAATCAAATATAAATCCATATGAATTACATATGATTAACATATAATTAACATATGGATTACATGTAAATCACATATGAATCACATTCACATGTAAAACACAAGTGAATCACATATGAATTACATATGATTCACATGTAAATCACATGTGATTCACATGTAAATCACAAGTGAGTCACATATGAATTACATGTGATTCACATGTAAATCATATGTAAATCACATATGAATCACATGTGATTCACACGTCAATCACAATTATACGTGATTCACATGTAAATCACATATGAATCACATGTGATTCACATGTAAATCACAATTACACGTGATTCACATGTAATTCACATATGAATAACCTGTAATCCACATGTAAATCACAAGTTGGTCACATATGATTCACATTTAAATCACATTTACACGTGATTCACATGTAAATCACATGTAATTCACATATAAATCACACGTAAATCACATATGATTCACATGTAAATCAAATGCGATTCACATGTGAATCGCATTTGATTCATATGTTAATCACATGAAAATCACATATGTATTTTTGTGAGTGTTTTTGTGTCAATCATTTTTTTTTTTAATTTTCTTGTAGATTTGGAAGAAATTGTGGTGAATATTGAAGAGTTGAAAAATGATAAATTGAAGAAAATAAGGAAATATTGACACGAAGACATAAAAATGCTTTGAAATTTGTAGCATTTTTTATTTTTTATATTTTATTTTGTATCGAATAAAATACTTGTATTATTGTGTTTATAGATTAATTAATAAAAATGAGATTTTTTGTGATTTACTTATGAATATTATAGTATAAGAAATATACATATATGCATTTGAAAAAATATGCATTTATGCACTTAAAAATTTACTTTTTTTTTAAAAAAAAAAATGCAGCTTATTTTTAAATGCAGATTTTTTTGAAAAAAATGTAACTTTCTTTAAAAAACTTGCAGTTTTTTAATTAAAAAATACAGTTTTTTTAAAAAAATTACAGTATTTTTTTGAAAAAAAATGCAGTTTTTTTCTAGAAATAATGCAGTTTTTTTTTTTTAAAATTACAACTTTTTTTTAAAAAAAAAATGCAGTTTTTTTAAAAGAAAATGCAGTTTTTTTTGAAAAAAAGATGCAGTTTTAAAAAAAATACTTTTTTCATTTTTTTTGAAAAATTTATGTTTTTTGAAAAAAAATTAAAAAATCTCCATTTTTTAAAAAAATCGAATTTAAAAAAAAAAAATAATAAATCCAAAATTTTAAGTTATTTTGTTAATTTTTAGACATTTATATTAATCTATTAAATAACACAAAAAAATTAAACATTAAATGAGATTAATAAGATGACGATCATGTCGTTAACGAATTACTTTTGATCCAACGCTCCACTTTTAGTTCTCGGATTCTCCGGAAACTTTGAGTTCTCAACCGATCGCAACGCTATATATATATATATATATATATATATATATATATATATATATATATATATATATATATATATATATAAACAAGAAATACGATTCAACTTTGAGGTCAAAAGGGCTTAGCGAGGTTTGACTTAATTGCCTTGACTGAGTTCTTGTTCCTTTTTGTAGCCTTAATGGATGGTATGCTTTGTAACGAGCAAGCTGATGAAAAGTAAGTCTATATACGAGGAAACAAATATATTTTTTTCATGAATAATTTTGGAATCCAATATTTGGTTTTTGTGTTGGGATTAAACCCCAGAAACAACATCTAATATGCATAGAACTTTAGAACAAGAAAGAACAAGTATATATTAAATTCAATATGTTTCTTTGACTTTTCAAGATTTATTATTATAGCGAGTATAGCATTGGTGCACAAATAATATATATATATATATATATATATATATATATATATATATATATATATATATATATAGGGTTAGGATCAAATGTGAATCACAAATATTGTGTGAATGTGTGACCAAATTCTAGCCATTAGATTAAAAGAATGAAGAGATGTGATCTTAAGGTACATGTTAATGAACATAGATTAGCATATACTATATAACTACATTAAATTAATTGTAATGGCAAAAACGTAAGAATAGTTAACAATATATATGGAATGTGAGATTTTCATGGAATTCAATATCAGTTTCAATTTACGTGATCTGCAGTATGTTTTTATATAATTCTCACAATACATGAAACATGTTTCATTCTTTAAGAATAATGTGATTTAATGAAACATATTTCATTATTTCATTCTTAAAGACTCGGATAATTTCATTCTTGGTTTTACATATTCATCACAATATTTTTTGTATAGTCCTCACAAAGTACGAATTAAAGAATCAGAAGATTTCAATCTTTAGGAAAATGCAAAGATCAAAGTATTCAATTTAAAAGTTCATGAGAAAAGATCAAATCAAAAAAATTTAAAGTACAAATTAACATTTTTTACTGATCATCTGTGCCACATTCTTTTGCATTCCATTCTTTTAGAATAGGTTTCAATTTTGTGTTCAATCTTCAAGATTCAGTTTCAAATCTACGTTCTCTACAATACTCTTTTGTTTTTCATTCTTTAAAAATCATTTTTAGTTTTGTTTAACATTCAAGAATCTTTATCTGTTACTGTAAATTCTTGAAGAATTAATATCTTCTATAGTCCATTATTCAAGAATCATGTTAAATTTACTAAACTATTAATTGGTTAAGCTACATTCCTAAAGAATATCTCTTATAGTATTTCAAAATATAGCTCATCATTGATACCTTTTTTTGTCATATTATTTATTTTTAGTTAAAATAAATACTTTTCTTTCTTTGACAAAACATAAAGTTTTGAGTATTATAGTTTAAATAGTTATATGTATATGAGAGGAATAACAAAGAACATCACTACTCTAATACCTTAAAACACCATAGAAGTAGAAAATAGGAGATAGATGTACTTTGATGCGAAGTAAATTGGAGGACAAATAACAATTTTGAATCTTTAATTAATTGGTGGTGAATGGTGGTGTGTTGTGAGAAGATCTCAGGCCGGTGCAGGGCAACCGGTGGTGGCTACATGGTGTACCCAGTACCCGACGAAAGTGTGGTGTATAATTCTGAAAGTGGCGTTGGTGGCTGGTTGAAGTTCGATGGTGGTTGTCTTGTTGATGACCGGTAGTGTGTTCTTCTTGAGGGTGGAAAAGAGATGATGATGTGAAAGAAGTTTAGGACGGTGAAAATTTTTGGTTATGATATTTGGCCATAATTATAGGGGATTAAACATGATAGTTATTTAAAAATTGAATTATATTCCATAATTACACTAATTTAAATTTAAGAATAATTAATTCAATTAATAAAATTTATATGTTATCCTTATTAAATGTAATTATATAGTATATGCTAGTCCATGTAAATAAGATGTACCCTAAGATCACAACATTTCATTCTTTTAATCTAATGGTTAAAATTTGGTCATACATTCACACAATAATTATGGGTTATATATAAACCTAACTATATATATATATATATATATATATATATATATATATATATATATATATATATATAGGCTTAGGTTATTTTGTTTTTACTAAGTATTGTGTGCCAGAATGCACAGATCTGGACCAACGGATGAAATTAATCAATGGACATGATTTGAGAGTGTATGATATTACAATGGGGTAACATGTACCATATAATCACACAATTTTTAGCAAAAGGGTATTTTGGACAATTAACGACATTTATAAAAGGAAATTTTCGGATTTTTAGGGATGATTAATTCTCCTAATTTAAAAAAAAAATCTGAATTTTTTAATTAGTTCAATTTCAATTTTTACCGATTTTATTCTGTCAGAATATTTTTTGTTAGAATGATGCTATTTCAGAATTTTATTCTAATAGAATATTATTGAAGAAAAACAAAATTCTTGAATCAGATGTTGAAAAATAACAAACATTCTAATATATTCTTATACATCTGAACTTAAATACAAATTCATACATATTCTTACAGACTAAAATCTTTATACATTTTAATATAAGTATACATATTCTAAAAGAATATCAACAAAAATGATTAAAATTCTTAAAAAATAACAACATTCTGCTAGAATACTCTCGTTCTCTTTGTTTTCTTCATTTTCCACATCAATAGCAGCCCCTTCAAAACCTAAATAAAAATAAAAAAAAATAAAAAAAATAAAAACATGATCAACTTTAAAATATTATAACTTTCAGTATATTCTAAAAGAATAAACTATAAATTCTAATAAAATGTGTTAGACATTAAAGACTTTTAATTTATTCTAACATAATGTAATACTCAAGTCACTTGATCAAGTATTCCCCGAATCATGAAATCATATTATGAGAATAATTGTCATGATATCATATTCTGTCAGAATAAGTGGCATAAACATTCTAAAGCATGTATAAATGTATTTTGTCAGAATTACTAGCAACACATGTTTTATATAATATTTATATTCTCATAGAATGAACATGTGTTTACATTCAGATATGAAAAAAAAAATCCCAAGCTTAACCTTTTTCATCAAAGACAAATTTAGAACAATTAAGTATCAAAAACAAAGTAGTATATACTTTAATTCTAACAGAATATTTCAACACAAGTATAAAACATATTACTATAACTCTAACAAAATAGTATATTGTTTACCTTAACATATTCTGACAGAATTTCCCAGATTATCACAAACTTTATACCTTCGGTAAACCATTTTATGACAAAAAGAAAAAAGTGTGCATCGTTGAATTTATGTTAAAATTTTAATTGTATCATGCAATTATAGCCTCTGGTAGCAACTAGAAATATCAGGCAAATTAAAGAAATTACTAATTGCTATAAAAACAACTTTTTTCGTCCAAGCTTTTCTTTGGTGTAATTACTAATTGCCACAAAAAAGAAAGTAGTAATTAGCAAAAAAAAAAAAAAACAAACGTCCAACTACTTGGTTTCACCGTCAATCTGGGATTGGCTTTCTTTTCATATTTGGCGATATTAACCTTCAAGAAACAGTGACCACATTGACCACATTTTACTTGATTTAGTGATTTTAATAGTACCTGAATATATTTGACACCTTCATATTTGATAAACGCGAAGTATGATCCTCCTTTGTCTTTCCTCCTCGGGATGTATGTACCAACGAGTTTCCCAGATTTCCAAAAAGCATTGTATAACATGTCGTTGGTGATGTCATGTTGTAAGTTTGATACATAGAAGGATGTAATTTTCTTGTTCGCCTGTTAATTTCTCTGGCACACCTCCGTCCAGTCGCCGGCTAGTTAACAACGGATTAGGGTTAATGAATTGAATCGGTAGATGGAGGCGGAGGAGTCGACAGATGGAGGAGGAGTCGACGATTATAAACCCTACCATAGCAAAAAGTATGCGGCTATTTGACTTTAATATTCAATATTTAAAGAGATAATAAATATATTAATTATCTACCATAATTAATTATACAAAGATTACAATAATACCCTTAAATGATTTACTTAATGATTTATTATTTTCTCAATTCTCATTGGTGCATACATGCACACAATAGTTGCTAAAAACATTTGAACCTAACTCTCTCTCTCTCTCTCTATATATATATATATATATATATATATATATATATATATATATATATGATGTTTTTGTTTCAACTTACAAGCCTATTTTAGACATTTAACTATTTTTGTATGTGGGTTGTGACATAGGACAAAACTTCCATTAGTGTTTTTTCTACTTAACATAATATTTTTTCCGTATTACGAATATTACACTATTTTGTTAACTGGATTGATTTGTGTAAACAACCGAAACATTATATGCATATTTTTCTCAGGTCGGAAGTAGCAAAGTTCATTACACAAATGATGATATTGATGAAATCTATGAAGAATGGTCGACTTTTATTACAGGCTTCATTTATCGGTGATATTTTATATCCACAAACAATATAATAGTGAAATGTTAGGTAGCATCATCTTTTGACATGTGGTGTACAATGTTTTTGTTAGCTGTACATGTGAAATGTTAGGTAGCATCCTCTTTTGACATGTAGTATACATATAATGTTTTTGATAATTTGTTTGACATTTAGATGAAATTGAATTTTTGGTATTATATTTGATTATGTATTATGCGTAAATATACGTTGTTTGTCTGTTGAAGTTTATGACACACAAATGCTTGTCGTATTGATTTATGTCGTAAATGCACATCGTAAATGTGTATCGTTATTTGTTTGTTGAAGTTTATGACACATAAATGCTTGTCGTATTGATTTATGTCAGGGGATTTAATGATACACATTGCGTGTCGTAAATGCGTGTAGTCTTCCTTTATGACAGGGCCTTCTTTGACACACGATGCGTGTCGTACATGCACGTTGTAAGTTTATGACACGCAAAAGCGTGTCGTCTTCCTTTATGACAGCGCCTTCCTTGACACGTATTTTAGTGTTATTTGTGGCTTTTATGACACGTAATGCGTGTCATTAAAGGGTATTTTTCTATTAGTGTCAAATCCCAACGTGAAACCGATCTGTTACTTGTTACTTATTACCAATTTATCAAAACATTACGGATTTCAACAACTGATTAACTAGATTGATTTAAACATTTATGAAGCACAAAACTGAAACTACTAGATAAAATCACATAATAAAAACCAAATCTGATGATTAACTACATAAAAATTACTAATCTTTTTGCAGAACTGAAATCTAGGGTTTTAGCCAGAAATGACTAAAATCTGATAAAAAAAGAGAAATTAAATAACTATATCTTACTAAACTAATTGAGACAATCGATCCATAGTCTTTAGATCTTCAGAAATCGATGAAAAAGTGCAGAAATTGCCCGAAAATCGTCTTGAAAGTGTTTCTTTTCGTCTGCAGTCTAGGGTTCAACTGAGAGGACATACGGTAATTATACAACAGGCTTGGTCAGTAAACAAGGGTTCTAGCTACAGGCTTGGAGGCAGGTGGTATCCATGTTCAGTAAGTACATTGCTAATATTTTTTTTAGAAGCACAAGTATGAAGCACAGCCCATGCTTGGGCTAAGCAACTTTAAATATCCAAAATAATGCACTAGTTGTGATCACGAGGCAAGCACAACCCATGCTGCAGGACTGAATTTTTTTAAAAGGCCTAAAAAATCATAAGTCTTATAGTTAAGTTCTGTAAGTAGAGAATGGCCCGTGTTTGATGAGACATGGCCTATATTTGGTATTTTTTTAGTGTTTTGGCTCTAGATAAGCTCCAAATATGCTTCACATATTCTCTAGATATTCTACAAATATGCACCAAATTATCGATCCACTCGTAATATCTGAAAAACACATAAAAACATGAGCAGTACGGGAATGCTGACGAAATACATGAGTTGAACATTATCTAGACTAATGCATATGAAAAAGCATAAAATATGATAGAAAATACTAATAAAACCTACTATAAAAGATGTATAAAATGGCATCTAACAAATCTCCGCAAGCATATAACTTACTTGCCCTCAAGTAATAAAAATATTAAACATGATAAACAAAATGGAAAGATATAGATGACCTAAAAAGGAACGTAGAATAAAAACTAAAATAAATTTAAGGAAGCTAAAAACTTTAATTTTATTAACTAAAAACACTTCACTCTTTTTTTTTCTTTTTCACATGATCAGACTTCACATCGAGGAAGCTCCAATAGAATCACTACCTAGACAACAATTGCAATACCTTCCATGTATCCCAAATTTCCAAGGCCAGAAAGATGCTTAACTGTGTAAACTGATAAATCAACCATAAATTATATTTAAATTTTATACCTTAATTTACCATGCTCACAAAAATAGCATATTTAAGAACTTCACGTCTTTTCGAGTCATTCATAAAAACCAAGCTTAACCTATCCTTAAAGACCCTGTCACGTCAAATCAACTTTCACCAAAGTAGTCAGCCGTCTCGTAGGGGCCTGAGCTCCTACGCTTTCGCTTTTTTTGAGAGCTTCATATACCATATCAGCCAGTTCATTAGCTACGCCAGATTTGACTTTGAGGCAACTCTTGATTGAAACTTGAACTTATGTATCTTTTGCCTTCGGCTTTGGGTTCTTCAATCGTCTTATGCGTTTCATGATATTTCTTCGATTAAGTACTT